TTCCCTCAGTCAATTGTTACTGTGGTTTTCTAAACCTCAGCCTTGTGGAGCAGAAGGTCTTGGGTTGAATCCTTGGGATCTCTATGGAGGGCTGAGGAAAAGACTTCTGCCTGAAACTGTGTAGATTTGGGGGGGGGGTTCCCATCAGGTGGTCTGCAGCAATGTGCGTAAAAATACAGTTAAAAGTCACACAGCACCTAGCACAGAGCAATTACAACTGGCAGAAAAATCATTAAGTCGTCTGCCAAAAAACCCTCAGCGATTTTCCAGGGGTCTGTGGAGGGGGAAAATATTTGAGAACCACAGGGGCGGACAATACTGAGCTAGTCAGACAGGTGGTCTTGTTGGAAGAGTATATGGAATACCTGTGGTGGTCTTGCCACAGTCTGGCTTGATATGAGGCAGCTTCTTGCATTCCTAAAATGTTCACCCACCCACCCCTTTTCTTATATACTGTGGTCTCAAAGGAAGTGCACCACCACACCAGCTAGCAACAATTTATTTTATTTTAAAAAAGGAACCTGCTTAACATCAGGTCTCCTTTGGCTCTAAGAAATACAGAAAAATATTTAATTGCATTTGATATGGCAGTTCTCACCTGGCTGCATTTAGCATAGCACTGTTTAAAAACCTTGCCTTTCAGCGAGGGCTCTGAGCGTGCCTTTGCTGACCAGGAGGAGCCAAGCCTGTTTTCCTGACTGCCGTAGCAAGAGCACTGAACAGTCCAAGCCTTTCTTCCTTCTTTGCAGTACCCCATGGTAGCCGACTTGTTTCATGATGGGAAAGACGCCATGCCGGCTGCTGCGACTGGAAAAGGAGCTTCCTCGAAAATCAATATCCGCTCTGCCCGTCCAGCTGTGAAAGCAGCCAATAAGGAGCACAAGAAAACAGTTGGGCATCAGGTAGGAAATCGTTCTCACACACTCTCGGTGGAACTTTTGTGTTCCCATTGCAGCATTTGTCCTCTTTATAGGGACGCGGGTGGCACTGTGGTCTAAACCACTGAGCCTCTTGGGCTTGCTGATCGGAAGGTCAGTGGTTCAAATCCCTGCGACGGGGTGAGCTCCCATTGCTCGGTCCCAGCTCCTGCCAACCTAGCAGTTCGAAAGCACACCAGTGCAAGTAGATAAATAGGCACCACTGTGGTGGGAAGGTAAACAGTGTTTCCATGTGCTCTGGTTTCCGTCACAGTGTTCTGTTGCACCAGAAGCGGTATAGTCCTGCTGGTCACATGACCCGGAAAGCTGTCTGTGGACAAACGCCGGCTCCCTCGGCCTGAAAACGAGATGAGCGCCTCAACCCCATAGTCGCCTTTGACTGGATGTAACCGTCCAGGGGTCCTTTATCTTTTTACCTTTTATTCGTACTCTTTGTCACACCAAAAACGTAAGACTAAGTGAATAACCAACACTGAATACTACTGCTTGGATGCATTTATTTACTTAAGTTCTGCTGCCAATTTTAGGAATTCCTTCCCCCCGCCCCATAATTTTTATTAAATTTTCTGTTTTACATTTTAGAATATTCATTTAAACAACCATAAAATATCAATGACTTCGCTTCTACTCTTTCCATGGTTCATTTTCCATAACATAAATCCCTGCATATTTTATGTAAACTAAACCACTGAGTATTCCATTATTCCATTAGTCCATCCATCAAAACTTATTTACACTGTTGAATTTATCTTAATGCTACCCACGTTTTCAAATACAGTGGTGCCCCGCAAGACGAATGCCTCGCAAGACGGAAAACCCGCTAGACGAAAGGGTTTTCCGTTTTTGAGTTCCTTCGCAGGACGAATTTCCCTATGGGCTTGCTTCGCAAGACGAAAATGTCTTGCGAGTCTAGAGATTTTTTTTTCGCTTTTCCCCCCCTTTATCTAATCTGCTAAGCCTTTAATAGCCTTTAATAGCCTTTTAGCAGCTAATCCGCTAAGCCTTTAAGCCTTTAATAGCCGCTAAACTGCTAATAGCGCTAATCCGTTAAGCCGCTAATAGGGTTGCTTCGCAAGACGAAAAAACCGCTAGACGAAGACTCTCGCGGAACGGATTAATTTCGTCTTGCGAGGCACCACTGTATACACAATTTCCCCCAAATATACTAAAATAAATCTATTTATTTATTTTAGTATATTTGGGGGGAAATTTTGGTATTCCCCTCCACCTGCCACCACCTTAGTATTTGGGGTGGTTTGGCATTTCTTTTGCCTTCTGCTTAGATCTGGGGGCAGGAGATTTTATTAGGGCACAAAACCACCCCAGTGACCATTCTAAGGGTCAGATTTCTTCCATATGCTGACCATGATATTTTGCTTCCAGATGCTTCATTGGAAGAGATTCATATGTGTAATAAATATTAACTAATTCAATTTAAGTTCCAAAAGAAGGCTTCTCTCAGGCCAGAATAGGTATCAGTCCTTGCAGTTATTTAACTTAACAGCCGTCTGTGGTTCAGTGAGCCCCAGATTCTGTCTTCCACTCTTATGTGTGGCATGCTTGCCAGGTGGATTTTGCAATATTTGGGCCAGATCCAAACATGTTGTTGTGCTAGCAGAAACCATGGCAATTTGTCTTGCTAGCACCGTGTGACTTTCTGCCCTCTCTTTCCCCCTGCTCCCTCTCCAGGGAGAGATGGTTCTGTCTGGCAAACAGAAATGCTTACTCTTGGCAGAATGAACGCTTTAGCACGATGTTGACTTGCACCCTATTGTATTTATTTAAAATGCCATATGCACTGTTTTCCTATTAAAATATCCAGAGCAATTTGGGCAGGATCCTGTCTAGAGGCAGGAGCATAGAATCTGATGTCCTTTGGGCCCATTCCTCCCTTGCTGTTTTGTGATGTTAAAAGGCCTATTCTCTCTCTCTCTCTCTCTCTCTCTCTCTCTCTCTCTCTCTCTCTCTCTCTCTCTCACACACACACACACACACACACACCCCGAAATCCCTGAACAGTCTCTGCTGAAAAAGGATTGCATTTGAGGAGTTGTGAAGCAAGCAGTTTGTCACCATGACACTGTGTCATTCACACATGCTGTAGCCACGAGGCAGTGACCAGGATTGGGCAAACTATTCACCACCCCCTTTTACACGTGTTTCCATGTGCATGTTCCTCACTTGACTGCAGTGTCCAGAAGAGTGGGCAAGTCTTCACAGGCAGAGATGCTCTAGGGCTGAGTCATCTCACATATTTAGCAGTCGCTCATTAAGTGTAATCAGGTGTAGGAAAAGAAAGTGATGTTACACCCCACATTATGTCATCTCATTTCAGGAATGGGTTGTCTTTTTAATTGTTTCTTCCAGTTCCGTAACTCCTTACATTTGCTTATGGAGACCCTGAATGCCACCACTCCCCATTACGTACGCTGCATCAAGCCAAATGATGAGAAGCTTCCTTTCAGGTAAGTACGACAAGACAAGAACATCAATGGGCTGAAGTTAAGCAGACCATGAAACAGTTGATGTCTGACTGTCAGTTGTTGTTGTTGTTGTTGTTATTTGTGCCCCACCCATCTGACTGGGTTGCCCCAGCCACTCTGGGCAGCTTCCAACATATAAAAAAGCATTAAATCCTAAAAAGCTTCCCTATACAGGGCCGCCTTCAGATGTCTTCTATTTATTTATTTTTATAATTTTTTATTAACCGACCAATCACATCAAATCAAACCAAATTACATAAATTCCAAATTACAAAGCCGAATTTTAAATTTTTGTTGGGGGTACCCATATTTCAAGTTCCGAAGGGGATCCAATCATCTTCTTGCTGCTGCTTTAATGTCCACAAATCTATCCATATGATGTTCACAATACTGTCCAGTCCTTTCTTATTGTTTTCCACATCTTTTCTCTTTGTGACCTCTGATGCTCTCCAAAGCGGGTTAAAACAAGTTGTAATCCTGTGTGGATCTTTTTATTCAAGAACCATATTCAGACGGTTTCCGTATATCAACCCTTCCATAAATAAAAACAGTCTTACCGTCATTAATCTTCACAAATCTGCCACCTTTCTCCCAACCTTTGAGGAGGTTCGCCAGGAATACAGTCCGAAAACAAATCCATTCCTCCTCCCGGTTGTAAATCCTTCGACCAAGCCTGGCAAGATGGCGGCTGTTTTTATTGCTGCGTCACTCCAAAAGCTCTTATTCTTTACTCAGTCTCCATAAAACATACTTTTGGTTAAAGTTCATTTCCACACAGACCTTAAACATCCTGCTTAGGTCAGTTAGCCGACGGATCCAGTATAGGGAGGGGTTCTTAGTTAATCATATAGAAGAAAAGAAAAAAGTCCCCCCCCATCCAGTCCCACTGCCGACATACCCAGCCTTTAATGTGTCTTCTCCATGAGATATTCCTGTTGCTCCGACCCGTCGTTCTTCTTTCACAGAGGTCCCTTCAGTTAGCAGTCTTCACTCCCCTTCTTCACTTGAAATATGTGCATTTGCTTCTTCCAAATTAATTATTACAAATTGCTGCAGCTAGTGGCGCGATCAGAGACAGCGTCAAGGAGAGCCGGAGTCCACACAAGGGCATTCTGCCTAGTGCCCTCACCCCCTTCTTTCGAATCAGGGGGTGATTTATGGGCACAGCAGGCAAGGGCAGTGTTCCCCATATCCTTGGGGCAACAAGGGAGGCTGCATACTCCCATAACAGCCTCTTAATTACCTCGTGTGGACCGGAGAGATGTTATTGTCAGCCATCTTCCAATGCGCCCCTAGTGGCCCCCCTCAGATGTCTTCTAAGGGTTATATAGTTACTCATCTCCTTGACATCTGATGGGAGGGCGTTCCACAAGGTGGGTGCCACCACTGAGAAGGCCCTCTTTTCTAATTGTATATGGGGTAATCCTGCCCGATGCTGAGCACTGCAATGAGCCTTTAGAAATGTGTCTTTCCATAGGGGATGATAGCTGCCTTATGCTGAGTTCACCTATCCCAGTATTGTCTGCACTGACTGGCAACAGCTCTCCAGTGTTTCAGAAGGGGTGTTCCCAGCTCCATCTGGAGATGCTGTGGTTTGAACCCAGAACTTTCTGTATTCAGAGCAGAGGCTCTACCATTGAGCCACTGCCCTTCCCCTAAAGAATATCCTATCTATTGTGGCACCCAGAACTGGACATAGTACTCCAGTCGTTGTCTGACCAAGGCAGAATAGAGCGGTACTATTACTTCCCTTGACCTGGACACTATGCTTCTGTTGATGGAGCCTAGAATACCGTATTTTTCGCTCTATAGGATGCACCCGACCATAGGGCACACCTTGTTTTGGAGGGGGAGAACAAGAAAAAAAATTCTCCCTCTCTCTGCTCAGCGCCCCTTCAGCGAAGCGGCAGGAGAAACAGAGCCCCTTCCATTTCTCCTGCTGCTTCGCTGAAGGGGCGCTGCGCAAAGAGGGGGAGAATTTTTTTTTCTTGTTCTCCCCCTCTAAAACAAGGTGTGTTCTGTGCATTCAAGTGCATTCTGTGCGTTCAACCGTGCTGCCCCTCGAGCTTGTGGGGCTGGCAGTGGGGGAAGCGCTGCTTTCCCCCACCGCCAGCCTCAAAGATCCCTGAAGCCTTCAGAGCGCAGCGCGAGTTCCCGCTGTGCTTCGCAGGCTTCGGGTTCCTTTTGCTGAAGCCAGGAGAGTCTTGCTCTTCCAGCTTCAGCAAAAGGAACCTGAAGCCTGCGGAGCGCAGCGGGAACTCGCGCTGCGCTCCAAAGTCTTCAGGCGGCTATCCCTGAAGCCTGGAGAGCTAGAGGGGTTGGTGCGCACCGACCCCTCTCGCTCTCCAGGCTTCAGCGAAAGCAACGCGAAGCCTCCAGAGCGCGGAGGGAGCGCTCCCTTTGCGCTTCAGAGGCTTTGCAGTTTCTATTGCTGAAGCCAAGGAGCCTGCATTCCCTCCATAGGACGCACACACATTTCCTCTTAATTTTTGGAGGGGAAAAAGTGCGTCCTATAGAGCGAAAAATACAGTAGCTTTAGCTTTTCTTGCTGTTGCAGCACACTATTGACTCATGTTAAGCTTGTGGTCTACTAAGATCCCTAGATCCTTTTCACATGCACTGCTGGCAATCCAGGCGCCCTTCATCTTATATTTGTGCACCTGGTTCTTCCTGCCTAACTGCAGAATCTTACATTTGTCCCTACTGAAATTCATTCCCTCGCTTAACTTTTGCTATAGTTACTCCTGTGAAATTTGCGATAGTCTCCGCTTCTTCCTAAATGTGTTGTTGAATAACTGCTGTACTCTGTCCCAAAGTGGCAAGAGTTTGATTGTGGCAGCAGCATTTCAGAGAGGTCTCTTTGTTATAGCCAACATAAAGAATTGCTTTGGGAGTTTGCATGATGAAAGGTGCTCAGTCAAAGCAAAATTGCTAGTGTTACTTATTATTATTATTAAAATGGCACGCACACACACACGAGCACACGTACTGCTGAGCTGCTCGCTGGAATAATGTGCTAAATGTCTGCTCTTGTGCATTTGACTTCATGATAAAATAATGGATCACTTGCTGAGGGATTGACAGCTTTGATGGATTTTATAATGTGGCGAATCCCAGGAGGCGGCGTATTTCTGCTATTATGGTGCATCAAGGGCTACTCAAAACTGCTCATTGATTCTGGATTTGCAAATATTAAATGTTGACAGCAATTGCTGAAGATTTTGAGCCACAGAAAAGAAACTGGCGAGCAATCCTGGAGTTTCTAATTCAGTTCTGGCAAATTGTGAACTTGCCAATATATTTATATTTATATTTATATTTATATTTATATTTATATTTATATTTATATTTATATTTATATTAATATTAATATTATTTCACCCAGCCACTTTGGGCAGCTTCCAACACACATAAAAACATAATAAAACAGTAAAAACTTCCTGATACAGGGCTGCCTTCAGACCAGTTATTCACTGAAGGGGGGTGAAAAGGCCTTCCACAAGTAGGATCCAGAATTCGGAATTCATTTCAGGTTGAAAGCAGTGATCCCATGCACCTCCTTGGTGCTGGGAAAATGAAGGTGACCTCTGCTTAGTGACAGGGACAGGAAACTGTTTTGTTTTCTTCAACCAGAGGGCAAGGTTCCCTCATAGACCATGTTCTCCTTATGCTAGAGGAGGGTGAGGGTCAGAAGCAAAAATTGGTGGGGCAGCAGATGTACACCAGGGGACATTCCAGGTACACAAAAGCCAGAGGATGCTATATCACCACCTATTACCGCATCTCTCCATCCTTCAACCTGGCATGTGATAAGCATCGTTACAGTTCAGGGACACATCCCAGCTAGTCAAAAGCATTTTCCCTTCACTTCTGTGCCCCGGACGCATACACCCCAAAATGCATGGGCCGATTAGGGAAGTTGCCTGGGGAGAGGGAGTGAAGTTTGGGGAGAGTCCCAAAGGCCAGATTGAGAGGGCTCTCAGCCCACATCAGAAGCTCCCCTAGCCCTTGAAGAATGTGATTAAGAATTCTTTAGTGTTTCCAAATCCAGAAATGGTTTGCTAGATCCCCATAGCGATTCTTTTCTTGCAGTGCACTAAATTTCTCTATTTCCACCCCACTTTTGGTTACAGTTTAAATTTTAGTGAATGTTGAAGTACTCCTAGGGAAGTCGTAGAATCGTAGATTTTGAACCGGGAAGGGCGGGGTATAAATTTATTATTATTATTATTATTATTATTATTATTATTATTATAGTCCAACCCCCTGCAATGCAGGAATCTCAACTGAAGCATCCATGGCAGATGGCAACCCAACCCCTGCTTAAAAGGAAACTCCCACAGTCTTATCTGTAGGAAACCTTCTCTGGTTGGGCAAATTTCTGTCCTCATTCCATCAAGAAAGCACTTATACAGTTGACTCAGAGATACTTCGCTGCTTGGCATTGTTAACAGTTGGGCTGCCTGAAAAAAACTGCTGTTAGGGCTTTTAGATGTATTGCATTGCCACATTCATTGGTGCTATAAATTTGTTTCTTTGCAGCTTTGACCCAAAGAGAGCAGTCCAGCAGCTGAGAGCCTGTGGCGTCTTGGAGACCATCCGCATCAGTGCAGCCGGCTACCCATCCAGGTACCATATCTCTGAAACTCTAGTCTGCTGTGTTGTTTTTAGTGTGTGTGTATTGAAATTAACAAACACAAAAGCAGAATAGAATCCGGGGGTAGGTAGAAGGTAGCCAGGTTGGTTTGAAGCTGATCAGCAAGGATACCTGTCTTCTGGTTATTTAACAGTGGCAGCAGCAAGATGACTTCCCCCTACCCCATCTCCTGGCCCATGAATTGTTCTTGGGGATAGAAGTAACCAAGAGTGGTTTTTTGTGCAGAAAGACTATAAGCTCATTTCAGCATTGATTCTTTTTTAAACAAATAAACAGCATCCATGTTCCACAACACCCTCGGAGGGGGGGAAATACCGTATTTTTCGCTCTATAAGACACACCAGACCACAAGACGCACCTAGTTTTTGGAGGAGGAAAACAAGAAAAAAAATATTCTGAATCTCAGAAGCCAGAACAGCAAGAGGGATCGCTGCGCAGTGAAAGCAGCAATCCCTCTTGCTGTTCTGGCTTCTGGGATAGCTGCACAGCCTGCATTTGCTCCATAAGACACACACACATTTCCCCTTACGTTTTAGGAGGGAAAAAGTGAGTCTTATAGAGCAAAAGTGAGTCTTATAGAGCAAAAAATTTCAAGGAGAAATCCCAGCAGTAACTATTTTTTTCCGGCTACAATGTAGAGGTGGCCTCTTTTAACAACCCACGCTCCATAAAATTTCAAGTGACAAGTCTGTAAGTGAATTAAAGATTGGCCAGTCATCTGGTGTTCTGCCACACGGCATGCTTAGCATCATCTTCTTTAAGCCAGTCCCCCAAACTGTCTTGTGCTAACGCAGTTTGCAATGACTGGCTTACAGACAAAGCGAGGATAGAGACAGGTTTGTGTTTGGAATTTGCACCACATTTTGGGGAGCTTGGAGTTTACAGAAGAAACGTTTTAGGGCTTGGTGAAATTTTGCACATCCCAAGTATAAATCAAGAGATAACGGTGACAAGGGCAAGTCATATTTTGGGGGTGGGAGTGCATCTGGCTTCACCGCTGAGCAGTTTTCATGTTTTACTATCGGCATAACTATCAAGTTTATCATCTGCAGCAATGGGATTATAAACGTAAGGCTACTGTAATGGCAAGTCCTCATGCCACTCTCCCCCCCCCTTACTTCTGCCCCAGAATGTAAATGTGCATTAGCAACAAGAAGGGGCGAATGCAGAGTGTTCTCTATGGGTCCCCAGAGTGGCATACAGTTCGGCCAAACTTCCCTCATCTCATTGTATCTCATTATACGCTCTTCCTAGTGACATTCCGTGTGTTGACATTCTGAGTTAGTGAGGGCTGCCTTTCCTCCTTACTCTTGAAAAGAGCACCTCTGCCACAGCCACTGTCCTGAGTTTATAACAATATCTGGACTTTCAGGGGATTCAATTGTGCAAACCTTTAAACTGGTTTTTGAAACCCATTTATTTTCAGCCACCTTCTCTGTTTTTGTTCTGGCCCTTTGACAGTTTAGATATACAGTATATATATTTTAGGACCCGTTCTACTTGTGATTGGGATTTGTTTTAAACTGTTTTAAATGCCTTATTTTATATTGCCGTAACCTGCCCTTCTGGTGAAGGGTGGGTACTAAATATGATGAGGATGACGAAGATGATGATGCTAACAACAACAACAATCATTGTTAGAAAAATTATCTGGTGTTCTGTCTGTAGGCATTTTATATATTTCTTTGCAAGCAGTTCCCTGCCCCATTACAGGTGTTAATACACTAATCTCAGCAATTATTCCCATTCTTCTACAGTGAAAGGCTAAAGGTGTGTCTACTTAACATTAAGCTCTAATTAATACTGGCTAAAATGTCCGCATCTCATTGCCATTCACCTTACAGTTTTCTCCTTTCTATAACTGCCAACTAAGATTTCACTTCACATATCTGACAACGCGGGCTTGAGTCCATGAGAGCTTTGAGAGCCTTTATAACTGCGTTAGTTTCGGAGGTCCCACAAGACTCTCTTGATTGTTCTTGCTGCAGAAG